GGGGGGGGGTGGGAGGGACGAAAGGAGGGAAAAGGTTGGGGAGGTGACGACAAGCCTCTTGGGGGACGGTTGTGAGAGCACAGTGCACACAAGAGGAACTCGGGGGCGGAGTGGAGTACAGTACAGTACGAGTACCAGTGCGGACTGTGGTGTACTCGAGTATGGTGGTGCACAGGAACTGGAGATGATGCCTACCGGTGCTGTACGAGTACTGGAGCACTCGAGCATAATACAATGAGAGGTTGACAAAAAAGAAAAGAGGAAATGAATTCCCCACTCGAGGCATCCCAAGGGTTCGGTATTTGCATCTGCAGGGCTAGTAGAGCTTAGGGTTAGGCATCGTGACGCGAGAGCGCTGAACCAGGTGCAGCAGGGCTCGACTGTAATGGTACTGTATGAAACCGTTAATGCCCTCCGCCAATCCCTAAGCTCAATCTAACCGAGTTAACTAAACAGAGGAAAATCCCAGCGTGATAATAATAACACTTGAATCCCCATAGGGAATGGAATAAAAATAACATTTTCAATACAACCTGCCTGTACAAGTAGAGTTACCGGTACAATTAGAGTAACACATTCGAGTACTGCACTTTTTACGACCCCAAACCTTGAGACGCAATAAACAATAATGATAACGGCAAAAACAATTAAAATAATAAAGGTGAGAGAGAATAAATAGCATATTGGATAAAAGCGTGACCGTGACCCCTCTCACCCATTACCTCATTTCCTAGCCTTTCCGCATTCGCAAGGAAGAGTACCGGTGCCGGTATTACAATTTACGGACCTCTACATCAATCTTGCACTACCTCCGATAGCACAACGGACACCCACCACCAGGACCGCAACTACGAGTGCTCCTGCCTCCCTTCCCCCTCACCTTCCGTCCGTACGAGTACAGTACCATCAGCCATAGCATTTATCCATCCATCCATCCATCCATCAATCATCAATCAGTCATCCACACATCCACCCAGTTCATCATCCCCTTCCCTCATCCACTCCCCCCACTCGCACACACATATAGACTAGACACTCGTACAGCCTCTGCTCAATTGGACTTTGAACGGCTGGGCAGAGAGGATCTCGGTGGCGTCTGACCTTTCTAATCGTTCACTCACGTCAACATGAAAACCCGTTTCTCTTCTGTCCTGGTTCCCCTTAGTCTACCAGGCATACCCTTTCAAACTCGTCGCGCAATACGGTAGGCCCACAGTAATCATCAAGATCCTGTACGATCGGAAGAGTTTCCAAAAACTCCAGTGCGGTGGATACCGCACAATAACAATAGCAATAATATGTAAGTAAGTTGTTTAGCAAAGCGGATAGGTAGGTAGGTAGGTCCACGGTGGTATGTCGGATAGGCAGGTAGATAATTTTTTTTTAGATATGATGGCTAGATGAGTTTAGGAATACATTATCATATCCCGGGTGGTAGGTAGGTAGGTATGCCATGTCAGGTCGAGGAATTAGCAAGTATGATAGGAAGCTCAAATTCAGGAGTTTTTTTTTTTTTTTTTTTTTACCCTCTCTTCACTTTCGCGATGAGTATGATACTGTAATTGCTTTTTTCACCCGATGATTGTTTTTTTCTCCTCATTCTTCTACCCTTTTGCAGGTTTTAGTTTCGATCGCAGATATTATATACAGAGACGATGCACGCATTTCTCTCTCTCTTTCTTATTTCCAATTCCCACGTGGGGCTCTTTTTTTTCTTTCTTTCTTTCTTTTTCTTTCCCTTCCACCAAAACGCTCTTCTTTCCATGGGAGGAGGGGAAGGGATTTTTTGGTCTAAATAGTTTATATCATAACCGGTGCCACAATCATCCAGCCAGTCAGTTGATTCGTAGTACTCGTACTACAGGACGACAAAGTCAAAAAATTCTACGATACTGGTACTGTACTGTACCACCAGTAACCCGTATCAGCAAACAGTTTTTAAAAATTCGCTGCAGAGTGGTACAGTTCCCGTACTATTATACACTGCCTCGGTCTTCCCCTTCCCCTCTCCATCATTACAGTAAGTATGATATTATCATACTTTGGACTCGGAGAAAGCGAACTCATTCCTCCGGATGATATTTCCCACCCAGTCAATATTGACCATCCAAGATTTTTTTTTTCCCAGTCCGGTCGTTGGGTTCATGATCACACCAAAGTTGGAACAAAATGTTAATCCTCTTCTTCTCCCTCCATGATAGTCTACCCTGAAGAAAGAAAGGGGCCGGCGGGGGAAAGGGAGGGGGGGGGGGAAGCCCAAGAAATGTTTCCCCCCCACCGAGGCCCGATCTCCGGAAACCGCTTCATAATTCCACGATGCTATTATCGTCATGGTAAGTTAAAGGTCAAGGGCCCTGCATATAAATTAAATTAAATCAATCAATAAAACAAATCAATCATGTGCTCCCCCTCTTTTTTCTTCTCAAAATTATCCAATATATTTACCGCAACCCAATCCATGGCAAACTTTACTTAGATCTTTTTTCGGCTTCTGCCTTTTCTTTCTTTCTTTCTTTTGCCACCATCCCTCCCCCCCCCAAAAAAAAAACCTATCATTTTCCTATGTACTGTACAGTACTTGGTAAAAATGCAAGTGCTCTTTCCCCACACGGCTTGGTAAACTGTCTTGGAAAATCCCCACGCGGGTTTCTTTCTTTTCTTTCTTTTCTTTCCCGGCAGTTTTTGTCAAGTACTGTACTGTACAGTATTAGTACAGTACAGTACAAGTACCGTTGCCGGTTGCTACGAGTTATCTATCATACTTGCATCATATCGCTCGAAAGTACTAGTACAGTACAGTACAAGTAAGCCAGAACGACAGACAAAGCTTTGTCTTGAAGATATCGGTGGACTGTCCTTACTCTACGAGTGCGGTACTGTACAAGTACTCGTATCTGCCTTATCTATACCTGTCTATATAACATACCTGACCAACACAGCAAAAAAGCTCAGCGAGGTTAACAAAAGTATACATACGAGCACCAGTTTACAGAATCAAGGGGAGGGAGAGAGGTGTGGGGTGTGTGTATGTGAAGGTTTCATAACATGGCTCTTATTTTGCTCTCTACCTCCAGGATGGGGAGGGTTTTTTTTTTTAAAAAAAAAAAAAAAAGACGAACGGTTTCGTGATATTATGATATCGTACCATGCCATTCATCCGACATGAACTGTACGAGTATTCGCAAATGGAATCTATAATACTTCGTCCCGTGGTTTGACACTCTGCATAAGATATATTGGTGCGCAGATCTCCTGTTCGGACAAGTGCCTCACCGGACCAGATAACCGTACAGTACAGAACAATGCTTGTATGATAGATAGATACCGTAGAGTGGTAGCCCTACTTACGCTCTAAATAATCATCAATGATGTTACGAG